AAATTGGAAAAAAAGATAACGAAGGGTAATTAAAAGGCGAGGAGCAAAGAAAATCGAGAAAAAAAATTGAGTTTTATTTATGTATCCTTAAAATTGATGTCGAGTATTTTTTTTTTAATTAGTAAATTAATTGTAATGGTTTAAAAAAAATGCACACATGTCTGTCAGTCTTCCTTGAATTCATGTGAATGTATTCGTATTAATTTATTTATAATCATTTATGTAGTTTTTGTAACTTATACAATAATTTTATTATTTCATTCTATTATTTATTCCTTTTTTTCATAATTTGATACTTATAGAACACTTAATTCAAAAGCCATAAATAACTTTAAATGGAACACTTTTAACTTTTGAAACTTATACTTTATACATTTAAAATATTCAAATAACTTTATTTAATCATTTTTAGTATCATAATTTATTATAATGCTTATCTATATTTCTATTTTTTTATATATATTTTTTCTCTATTAATTGATGATTTGATTTACTTATATTTACTTATAAAATATTTGTTAAAATTAGTTCCTGAAAATTACTTAAAACTTAAATTGATAATGATTTGATATCACACAGCGTTATTCAAATAGTATAAACTTATTTCTGACTAACCTCAGGGAAGGGCCCACGATAATGTTGTTACAACTTTTGGCCCAACCCTTTTGTATGTACACTTGATTATTTCTGTAAAATTATGAAATTGTATATTGTGTGTACATTTATACAATAAAATATTATTAAACTAAAAAAATGTGAGGAAGCTATTGGATTAACTGAAGTTTTAATTACAAAAGTAAAATATGCATCGGAAAACAGTTATCAAATAAACATTTTCATATAATGCAGGCTCCACACATAGGTGAGTAACATAAAACCGCCAAAAACAACAGGTGTTATGTAAATAACACATGGTGCGTACCCAATATTATGAGAATGAGGAAAGATGTTAAAAAGTTTTGATAATATTATAGCTTAGAATGATAATATCATACCTGAAAATAATTATATTATACAGAAGAAGAAAGGAGTTTTTTTTTATCTACACCTTAAACCGAGAATCTAATATCTAAAATGTACTTGAATCTTTACAAAAATCATCACAACTGAAAATACCAGAACTATTTTAAACAATGTATTTAGTTAAATTTAAACTTCCTCATATGCTATGAGTAACTCACTGAAAATGTGTGACGGATTTGCCAATACATGCATAATCATACAAAACAAACATTTCTTCACTTTAATTTAAATAAGCGGTATTGGGTCAAATGTGGTATCGGATCACATTTGTAACACGTGTGTTACAAATATAATCGATGTGTTACAAATGTGAGTGTCCAAATCAAGGAATAACTTAAGAATCCTCTAACAGACATGAACGTTCTTAACTGACAATATTCAATTAATACACCACCACCATTGCTGTCGCTATTATATAACTTTAACATATTGGTTTCTATTATTAATAGAAAACTGTTTTGTGACATTGGCATTTTAATCATTTTTTTATTTCGCGAGAGAAATCTAAATAACCAAATAACCAACCTTTTAGGTACAGAAAAGTTCTTTATTTGTGCAAGACTTTTTTTAAAAAGAAAATTGTAACGTAATAAAGTTTGCCACAGTACACACGTCTGTCTGTTCGCGTGTCCGAAGACAATTCATTCCGATTGGATAACGTTTTAATATTAATGATTAAGTGTTCTTTTAATGTACTTTAACAGTACGCAGGTCATTGTTGAACACCATTGGTCTATTGGCGTTTACTTATTCACATTGTTTAGTTATTGTGTATAAAATTATTTGGTTGATACATGATTGATGATATTTATATAATCTTATAATATCAAAACTCAAAATCGGAAGATGGTATCGACGAATTGATATTAAAATTTGATACTTTTATGGCAAAATGTATGTACTTACAAGAGGGCCATGATGTCCCTAGATCGCTCCCCAGACCCATCAACCAAATCCGAGCAATGTCTGCATCCTGACCAAGATTGATGGCAATGGAGTCAAAAATGTGAACTCTAGTGTGTTCACAAGGTTTTTTCCATATTTGGGCAGTGTGACCTAGCTTTTAATCCCAGGTGACCCATATTCAAAAATGACTTACAAATTATCAAAACAACCTTCCTGATAAAATTCAAGAATATTTGGATCAAAACTGCAGCCACTAGAGTTAACAATACTTTTCTATGTTAAGCTCCTGTGACCTAGTTTATTGACCGGAGACGACCCATATTCGAACCTGACCTAGAAATCATCAAAACAACCTTCCTGACAAATTTCAAGAATATTTGGATCAAAACTGCAGCTACTAGAGTGTTATCAAGATTTTTAGCTCCTGTGACCTAGTTTTTGACCGGAGATGACCCATAATCAAACTTGACCTAGAAATCATCAAAACAACCTTCCTGACAAATTTTCAAAATAATTGGATTCAAACTGCAGCCACTAGAGTTAACAATATTTTTCTATTTTTAGCTCCTGTGACCTAGTTTTTTGACCGGAGACGACCCATATTCGAACCTGACCTAGAAACCATCAAAACAACCTTCCTGACAAATTTCCAGAATATTTGGATCAAAACTGCAGCAACTAGAGTGTTAACAAGATTTTTCTATTTTTTGTTCATGTTACTTTTTGACCGGAGATGACCCATATTCGAACTTGACCTAGAAATCATCAAAAACAACCTTCCTGACTGATTGCCAGGGAATTGAATCAAACTGCAGCCACTAGAGTGTTAACAAGCTTTTTCTATTTTTAGCTCCTGTGACCTAGTTTTTGACCCGAGATGACCCATCTTCGAACTCGATCTGTATTTGATTTAGGCAAACATTCTGACAAAGTTTGATGATGATCCAATCAAAACTGTGACTGCTAGACTGTTAACAACCCAATTGTTGACGTAGCACGACGACGCACGCCGGACATAGCCCAATCACTATACCTGACCTTGACCACTTCGTGGTCAGGTGAGCTAAAAACAATGTAATGAAAATTTTAAAACATGTGTCAGTTTTAATTTTAAAACATGTCCGTGCTATTGTAAGTAGTTTGTTATATATCTAGGATGTACAACAACTACGTTTAAAAGGTTTCATCATTTGTGCATTCATTTGTGCTATGCAAATTTGACATGTCTTTAGTGAAGGAAAGATTAATCAACCTTTGACAGAGGACACTTTTCGAGACTTGGAACACATCTGGTTAGAAGATTATCAACAGAGGATTATTTGTAAAGTGACAGTGTGTAAAGACATTGACTGTGGTTAGATAAGCAGTGGTCCTCTCTGTGCAAATGTAGTGAGTTAAAATAATTTTAGTAATAATCTAGGTCACTTAGGGTAAAAACAAAAAAAAAATAAAAAAAAATAAGTACGGGTATTTTTTATTTTAAAACATGTGTCAGTGTCAGTTTTAATTTTAAAACATGTCCGTGCTATTGTAAGTAGTTTGTTATATATCTAGGATGTACAACAACTACGTTTAAAAGGTTTCATCATTTGTGCATTCATTTGTGCTATGCAAATTTGACATGTCTTTAGTGAAGGAAAGATTAATCAACCTTTGACAGAGGACACTTTTCGAGACTTGGAACACATCTGGTTAGAAGATTATCAACAGAGGATTATTTGTAAAGTGACAGTGTGTAAAGACATTGACTGTGGTTAGATAAGCAGTGGTCCTCTCTGTGCAGCTGTAGTGAGTTAAAATAATTTTAGTAATAATCTAGGTCACTTAGGGTAAAAACAAAAAAAAAATAAAAAAAACTAAGTACGGGTATTTTTTATTTTAAAACATGTGTCAGTGTCAGTTTTAATTTTAAAACATGTCCGTGCACTTGTAAGTAGTTTGTTATATATCTAGGATGTACAACAACTACGTTTAAAAGGTTTCATCATTTATATTTATTTTGCCTGCTTGTATATTGTTGCTGTGCTTTATGTTTAAAGTAACAGTCTCACTTACTCCTGGCAGAGCCCAGGACCTTCCCAGTAAGTTACTGGGATGATCCGGGACGATCCGGGGTGAAATTATGGTTTATATTGCTCTGCGTCAACATTTTCATGTACTCGGGCTTTTTAGTATTTCTAATACTAGCATAAGCTAGTGAGCCCTGTCATTGTGGCGATCAAACACACTAATGTTACCATTGAACTTTCTGCCAAAGCTACAAAACCTAAATTGTTTCTACACATTGGCTATTCAATGATTATATGGAAGTGGTCCGTAGTTTTGTAGATGGTTTTCTACATTACTTATGAATCTCTTCAGCACATCTGGAGCTCAACTGTAATTTTGAGCAGCGATTCCCTCCGCCAAATCTCAATAAATGTTTAAACCAGGATATGTTTGAATGATTAGCATCGACCTGTAGTGAGATTTCGTAAAATCTCTGTTTTTTTGAATCCGTTTAGTGACATTTTCTTCATTCACATTGCATGTTCTGGACACACAAAAACCCACGACGGAAAGAATATCTCGAAGAAGACTGTATAGAAATCCAAAAACAACAATTGGTAATATAGAGGAGAGTCAGAAAGGTAGAATCACATTTCGATATTCTTAAAAAAAGGATTGAATTTTAAATAAATGTTTAAAAAGATGAAAACTAACCCTGCGATCGACCTTTTTTCAGTCACATCTGGTGTTATGCTTCACATCTTGTGCAGCGGAAATTCACATATAATTTTTACCGATGCTCATTTTTGAGATTCATATGGGGTTCCATACCCGTGGCGATACTGTAGGGACACGTTCCCTACGGTGGGCTCAACTGTACTATCATTTTTTTCCACTTGAATTAAGTTAAATTTATAAATTAATATATCATTTCTACAAATAAATATAGAAACAATATTTCAATATAATTAAGTCACGCGAGTCTGCAACAAATATGTTCGTACTTTTTATACACAAATGTACATGAGCAAGAGTTTACAAACACCTTAACTTTATATTAAATAAAACAATTTTCCACTAACCTGCGAAATATCCGAGCGTTAACACTTGTAACAACATTTTTGTCCTGACAGATGTTTTCATTTCCGCATACAACGGTCAACTACGAACCGTGGTATAGTGATGTTAGCGATACTGCACTGGACACCGTGTATAACGATGAACGAGGGACGTTCAAAAACTCTCGGAAAACTTTTTACCCGAAATCCTTCCAAGTAACTATGAATTTTATCTAAGAAACATTAATTTGTACAAGAATATAATATAAAAAATTGTGCACTATTTTATCATTTTTAGATGACATTAAAAATACTTTATAATTGTTCCAGGAACAAATTTATAGTTTCCATTAGAAAAAGTACTTCTTGACACATACACCTATTACTTCTAAGATACTTGCTACCCTTTAAATTTTATACAAAAAGTTTGACATTTTCACAAAACTAATTTACAAAGTCAGGAATTTTGAAAGTTTAACTGAATGCCTCCGGCAATAAATGATAGCAATATCAGGTTACGATAATTGGGCACAATCGTTTGAGATATGATCAGTTTGGCTTAAAGCTACAATCATTATTTTAAAATCTCAACAATTGATATTATGTAATAGATACTGTACGAGTTTTTCCTCAAAAGTGTCTTCTGACAGTTTGCTAGGATAAACCGAGGCGAAGCCGAGGATAAATTGTTGTTTGTCCTAGCGAACTTCTTCACGTCTGTAAGAAGACACTTTTGAAGAAAATACGAGTAACTGTAGCTTATACGACGTTTAGGTGTAAAGAAAAGATAAATTAAAAAACATAAATAGATCTAATTGAAATGAAAAGAATGTTCATATTGAAAATATAAAACTATAGAAAATATTTGCATGGCCTTAAAGCTTTTGGCAGTGAAAGGTGTAGGTAAATTGTATTCGCACGGAATTTTCGTGCACCTATTTCAATCGGACAGATTTCACTTTCATTCACGATAAACAATGTTAAAATGCCTGATTTCATCAGAGAGATCGATTATGTCATTTAACATCGAAACCGTCTCGGAACATGTTTTGCGTCACTGTTATATGGATAACGTTTTAGACCCCAAATTTGGTAAGTTTCCTAATTCACATGTTAAGCTAAACGCAATGCTCAGCTGTATATGACCGATGATTGTGTGTGTGGGTGGGATGATTGTATGTGTGTGGGTGGAAAAATTGTGTGTGGGTGGAAAAATTGTGTGTGTGGGTGGGATGATTGTGTGTGTGGGGGGAGGATTGTGTGTGTGGGGGATGATTGTGTGTGTGTGGATTGGTGGGATGATTGTGTGGGTGTGATGATTGTGTGTGGGGGGGTGGGATGATTGTGTGTGTGTGGGTGGGTGGAATGATTGTGTGTGTGTGGATAGCATGATTGTGCGTGTGTGGATGGAATAATTATGTGTGTTTGGGGTGATTGTGTGTGAGTGGGTGGGATGATTGTGTGTGGGGGTTGGATGATTGTTTGTGTGTGGGTGGGATGATTGTGTGTGTGGGGGTTGGGATGATGTTGTGTGTCGGTTGGATGATTGTGTGTGTGGGTGGGATGATTGTGTGTGTGGATGATTGTGTGTGTGTGTGTGTGGTGGGATGATTGCGTGTGTGTGGGGATAATTGTGTGTGTGTGTGTGTGTGTCTGTATGTGTGTGTGTGTGGAATGATTGTATGGGTGGTGGGATGATTGTGTGTGTGGGTGGGATGACTGTGTGTGTGGTTGGGATGATTGTGTGTTGTGGGTGGGTGGGATGATTGTGTGTGGGTGGAATAATGTGTGGGATGATTGTTGGGGGATGAGTGTGTATGGATGGGATGATATTGGGGTGGTGGGATGATTTTGTGTGTGGGTGGGATGATTGTGTGTGTGGGGGGTGGGATAATTGTGTGTGTGGGCCCGGATGATTGTGTGTGTGGTGTGGATGGGATGATTGTGTGTGGATTGGATAAGTGTGTGTATGTGTGGGATGATTGTGTGGGTGGTGGGATGAGTGTGTGTGGGTGGGATGATTGTGTGTGTGGGTGGGATGACTGTGTGTGTGGATGAGATGATTGTGTGTGGATGGGATGATTGTGTGTATGTGTGGGATGATTGTGTGGGTGGTGGGATGAGTGTGTGGGGGTGGGATGATTGTGTGTGGGTGGGATGATTGTGTGTGGGGGTGGGATGATAGTGTGTGTGTGTGGGGGGATGATTGTGTGTGTGTGTGTGGGATGATGTGTGTGTGTGGTTGGGATGATTGTGTGTGGGTGGGATGATTGTGTGTGTGGGGGGGGATGATTGTGTGTGTGTGTGGGTGTGGGATGATTGTGTGTGTGTGTGGGGGGGATGATTGTGTGTGTGTGGGGGGGATGATTGTGTGTGTGTGTGGGTGTGGGATGATTGTGTGTGTGTGTGGGATGATTGTGTGTGTGGGGGATGATTGTGTGTGTGTGTGTGGGATGATTGTGTGTGTGGGGGGATGATTGTGTGTGTGAGGGGATGATTGTGTGTGTGTGGGGGGGATTGATTTGTGTGTATGTGTGGGATGATTGTGTGGGTGTGGGATGATTGTGTGTGGGTGTGGGTGTGGGATGATTGTGTGTGTGTGTGGGATGATTGTGTGTGTGTGGGGATGATTGTGTGTGTGGGGGATGATTGTGTGTGTGTGGGGGATGATTGTGTGTGAGTGTGGGTGTGGGATGATTGTGTGTGAGTGTGGGTGTGGGATGATTTGTGTGTGTGTGTGGGATGATTGTGTGTGTGGGGGGATGATTGTGTGTGGGGGGGATGATTGTGTGTGTGTGTGGGCGGATGATTGTGTGTGAGTGTGGGGATGATTGTGTGTGTGTGTGTGTGGGATGATTGTGTGTGTGGGGGGATGATTGTGTGTGTGTGGGGGATGATTGTGTGTGTGTGTGTGTGGTGTGGGATGATTGTGTGTGTGTGTGTGGTGGGATGATTGTGTGTGGGGGTGGGATGATTGTGTGTGGGTGTGGGTGTGGGTGGGGGGAGGCAGCTGGGACAGTAAACGGTTTTTTTTCTTGAAGGTCAGACAATATACCAAAAAAGTAAAGTTTTAGCATCATCCAAAGAACAACTGTTAGTTTCGTCAATGCTAAAATCAACAGTAACTATGTTTCTGGAAATGGCTATCCAATTTATTTGATCCATTTCTCGGTGAACTGAATTTACTCATGAGTTACGCAAACTTTTCGTCGGCTATTTGAGGCAGTTAGAATATCGCCTGTTACGATTTAAGATTGACTTTATCTCTTATTTATCTCGACTATTCGAAAAAATAGGTAGAGCTATTGTAATTGTGAATTTAGACAGAAATATGGCCCCTTTGAACTTAGAATAATTCTACAATCTCCAGACTCTTGTTTTACTATCAAGCACTGAGAATAATCACGCGCACTGCCTTTTGTTTACAGATAAGTAGCTATAGATAATAGATAATAGATAACTTTCACTAAAAACACTGGTACTGTTAAATAAGTTACAGTTCTCGAAAGAAACATGCGAAAATTAAGGCTAATCATAGCGAATATTTTTTTCATTTTGATTCGCACGAGGATTAGAGTATGAGAAAGTTTAAGCATTAGACAAATTCAACGTTGAATGGCGCGAAAAGTTTCTTGCGATAATGTAAATTCTTGCTACTTTATCTATAAAAATAAAGAAAAGCGGGGCAAAACTTTAGAAAAAATATAGCATGTCAATAGGAGTCCTTTAACAAGCCGAACACCGTTTATTTCAATTGTATTAAATACGTGGAAAGTAACGGTTATTTAAAAGTGTCTTCTTACAAACGTAAGAAGACACTTTTTGAATAGCTCTGCTGGGGGTATAGTCGTAACACTTGGGGGTATAGTCGTAACACTTTTAAAATCACCGTTACTTTTACAGTTGAAATGTATTTGATGTACATATATTTAGATGTATTTGTCCAAGTGCAGCAAACGTGTTTCAGAGCGTCCTGCTATTGAATTTTCCTTCTTTCACATTAGTATCACAAATAGATATACACACACGTCTGAGGACCAACTGTAGCTCTTTGGCTGAAGACCTTTTTTCTAAGAATATCATACCTTCGCCTCTTTGCGTCTGTGGACAAAGGGAAACAACTCGTCATTTTTTTCTCGACTGTCCTCTTTATAAAAACATAAGACCTCAGTTGATAAACTGTATAAGCACATACTGTTTCATGTTTCACTAAAAACCATCCTGTTTGGTAACACGAACACTTACAGACTCAGATAATGAGAAAAATATTCCTTGCAGTTCATAAAATATTGTACTAAAAATCGAATCGCTTTGTTTGACTCTCCAATAATTTTCAACTATCATTAAGGGTTAAATCACAGGTCATTTTTTCTGTTGTTTTTTTTTTTCTCCTTCTTTTTCTATCTCATTCTTCTTTCTATCTGAACTTATCAAACTATTATCATTATTAGTCTTATTTTGCTTTTCTTTAAATAATTGATATATCTTATATTTATTTATTCAATTTCGATGCAAGTTGTAAACACATCAGCCTTCTAAGTCAACAAACGACAATTTTATTTCGCCTTATTTCGGCACATATATTTATTGTACATTGGGAAAAAGACTTCAATAAGCATTAGGTTGCTTCCAGTCTGAAATGTATTTGATGTACATATATTTAGATGTATTTGTCCAAGTGCAGCAAACGTGTTTCAGAGCGTCCTGCTATTGAATTTTCCTTCTTTCACATTAGTATCACAAATAGATATATCTTGATGTTAAAGTGGTTATGTTATTCGATCCACACCATTCTTCATATAAGCTTGCTTTATACCAATTTGATTGCAATATCTCCTTCCCACCTCTTGTTAATGTCCTCAAACCTTTTTCATTTACATTGACAACCGGGGTCTTATTATGAGCTTCCTATATAACAGTAACTTTAACCTTTAACCCACGGGAGTCCAAAAGCAATCCAAACTGGGGAGACTCTTCTTAAGCTTGCTTTATACCAAGTTTGATTTCAATAACTAATTCCTCTAGTTATTGTCCGGAAACCATTTTTCTATTTTTAGTAAATGTAACAGTGACCTTGACCGCCGAGGGTCTAAATGCAATCCCTACCGGTAACATAAGGTTAATATATACCAAGTTTAATTACAATAACTCACTCCTAACTCTAGTTTTTGTCCAGGAACCATTTTTTGTATTAAGTAAGAGTTACCTTGTTATGGGCCCCAGGGTTCAAAATGCAATTGCAACCGGAGTTTTAATATAAAGTTGCTATACACCAAGTTTGATTACAATAAATCATTCCAAATACCGTCCGGAAACCATGAGGTGGAACGACCGACCGACAAGCTGACTTCTACATAACCCCACCCCTCAAAAGTCTGTTTGAGGGGGTATAATTAGAATTAATTATTCTACTTTTCAAGGAATTTGTAACAGAATCTTTAAGGAGAAAGCTGATTGGGATGTGTAAGTTTAAATTAATTTTGCATCGTTATCTAATTTATGTTTTTTGCTGTTTTACTACGAAAGGAAGTGTGGTTGTAGTTTTTGGCCATGTGCTCGATTCCGCGGGGTAGACCTTTCAGGTCTTACTAAAACATGGGACAGATCATTTTTATTGGGTTTCATGCTTAGCAAATTACAAATATGCCAATCCAGTATGATGAACCATCAATTTACAGGAACTCTTGTATAATGATTATAAATTATTTATACTTTATTTTGATTAAAGCAATCTTGGTAACAATTTTATATTACTTGTTTACGTACTACAGAATGTAGTCTGTATTAAAGACAAATATATTTATTTGTTTTAAATTTGCTAGCTGATTTTGTTTTCACTCATTAAAGAAAGAATAATTACCTTAAAATCTATGTCATTTGTAAAGGGTCCTAGGATATTTTTATCTAAATTACTGAATGTGCATTTCTTTGTAATATAAAGATCCATGTAATTATTTAGTCAAGTGCTTATTACCACCTTAAATGTATTGCACACAATACAGTTGGCTTTTTATATATACCTGAAAACTCACAAAAAAGGGTATTTTATAAATGCTGTGGATATATCGATAATCCAAAAGTTTTGAAGGCCATAAAATGAAAATTTATATTTTGTTACATGCCTTATCAACACTTACAAGGTCTAACATAAACACTTATCAACATGATTTCCTTTTAATTCTAGTTTACAATTTTTATTTACTATTTTCAAAACAACGAATTTTGAATTGATATAAGAGCCGACAATTTTATGATTTTTGAAACAAATTTGCGCCATATTTTTTTAACCCAACATAACCAATTCCGAGTATCCCTACCACAAACGCTACTTTAAAAACTTTTATCCCGACTGATCTAAGCATCATCTTTTTCATTATCTTCTGAGTTTCTTCCATTTTCACCTTCATTCTTATTACAGACGGTCTTTTCATAAGACGGGAGAAGTAATTGTAGACATCCGGTCTCGTTTCACACGTGAAATAACGAGTGTCAAGTCCAATAAGCTGCATCCGAACGAATAATGTCGTCGCCGTGATGTCGGCCGCTGTAAATTCAGTACCGAATAGCCAAATATCTTGTTTACTATCAAATTCTGAAATATATATAAATGTAAAAGTAGAATCCCTAATAAAGACCTCCCCGGAATTAAGGCCACCCCGCTATCATTTTGGTCCCAATTCTTTGTTTAATTCTAAATTTTGCTCTTCTATTGAGACCACAAATATAAAAGTCATAATATATTATTTAAGTGATAAAAGTGTTGATACATACTATATATTTTTGAAGTCGAAATTATATCCTTGAAGATATGAAACAGTATAAAGTAGGTAAGTGGAAGATAATTCTGAAAGTTAGGAACCTTGCCACATTATTATGCTATGGGGGTTTATTTGAAACTCAAACTAAAATTCTTAAGTAAATTCTTTAAAGAAATAAATTTAGAGCAAAAAAAAAGAAGATAATTCTAGAAATATACATGCTAGAGTTATTTTTCTTACGGTGATGATAAGTAACAAATATTTGAAGTGTGAAATAGATACATGTACTACTTTAAGAAATGAAGAATGAAAATATCGTTTCTAAACCAATAATTAACAAGTTCATCGGGAGAATAATAAATTTATTCTGAAAATATTCATGCTAGAAGTATGAATCTCCTCACATATGATGTGGGTGATGATAAGGAACATTACATGAAAAGGCTTAAATAAAAACTAGAAATGTGTCCATAGAACACGGGTGCCCCCACCGCAACACTGTTCTGTCAATCTTTTTACTAAGTCAAGGGAAATAACTCTACAAATACTGGATAAATTCACAAGCGAAACCCCAGGTGCAAATCTAAATTATGCTGAGCAACCTGCTCATAAGGTTTATTGACTATGTCAAATCCTTTTTGAGAAACTTGCGACACAAGTTGAAAATTGCAAAAGTTTTCTAAGTGACGGGCAATAACTCTAAAAATACTAAATAAATCCAGACGAAAATACCTGGTGCACAACTGCACATGCTAATCAATATTCCTGTAAAGTAACATGACTCTAGGTCAAATACTTTTAGAGTTATGTGCGACACATGTTGAAAATTGCCAAATTTTACTAAGTCAAGGGCAATAACTCTAAAAAAACTAAAATATGCACACGAAAATACCAAGGTGCACAACTACATATTCTGATCAACATTCCTGTAAAGTTTCATGACTCTAGGTCAAATACTTTTTGAGTTACGTGCGACACAAGTTGAAAATTGCAAAATTTTACTAAGTCAAGGGCAATAACTCTGAAAATACTAAAAATATCCAGACGAAAATACCCAGGTGCACAACTACACATGCTGATCAACATTCTTCCTGTAAAGTTTCATGACTGTAGGTCAAATTCTTTTTGAGTTACGTGCGACACAAGTTGAAAATTGCAAAATTTTACTAAGACAAGGGCAACAACTCTGAAAATACTAAAAATATCCAGACGAAAATACCCAGGTGCACAACTACACATGCTGATCAACATTCTTCCTGTAAAGTTTCATGACTGTAGGTCAAATACTTTTTGAGTTACATGCGACACAAGTTGAAAATTGCAAAATTTTACTAAGTCAAGGGCAATAACTCTAAAAATATCAAAAATATCCAGACCAAAATACCCAGGTGCACAACTACACATGCTGATCAAAATTCCTGTTAAGTTTCATGACTCTAGGTCAAATACTTTTTGAGTTACGTGCGACACAAAAGTGAACGGACGGACGGAAGGACGGACGGAAGGACGGACGGACAGACGGACAAGGGTAAATCTAAATGCCCACCACTAACGGGGGGGGGGGGGGCACAAAAATATTTTACAGCACAGATAGATAGAGATAGATCTATCTAATTGTAGACACTTTACAACTAACTTTTGTCGAAAACTTAAGTCAGTGGTTGAAGATATATTACTTCAATGCCTAGATATTTTAATGTTTTTCAATGCATGACAAAGTAACTGTTGACCGTGACCTTTGCTAATTTTACCGGAAAACTTTTGTTCTGCAGAAGAATAATGACATCAACGAAATAAATAGAATAGAATTCATCATTTTTTTACAATAAATCATTTAATCTATGGTTTATCCAGCTTTTACCTCGTTTTGTTTTCAGAAGCCTTTCTTCGATTTTGTCAAAAACAAATTCAAGGTCATCTAACTGCTTCACGACCAGTTTCTCGTCCATAACAAGTTTCAATCTGTTTGAAACCTTCTCAATCTTTCTCTCGAGAGCAGCTCTCAATTCTGGTGCCGGACTTCTTTCTAACTTGTCCCGCATTTTGCTTATTTCACCGGAAAACTTCTGTTCTGCGAAAGAATATTTACATCCAGAAAATAAATAGAATAACCATCATCATTTTTTACAATTTGTTTTTGCTCCTAACAATAAATTTAAACAAGATAAGAACAGTTCAATAATTATTTTATACATTTCTACATAAAGTTGAGACACAATATACATGAATAGTTTGCTGAATATGGAGTTATGCAAGAGTTATGTGCCCCAGGGTGATATAAGAAATATTCTTCGGGTAATATATCCTAGGAGGGTGATATGCAATCATGTGTAAATATTTTTTGTTGTTTTCTGATTTAAATCCAACTTCATGCACAACTAACTAGCAATTACCAATTACTAATTTCTCAAGTGACCGACTAATCATTCCACGGTCAGAGACAAATGAACTAAACTTTATTGTCCGAGAATAAATTTTGTTTCGCCCATTGTTCGAACCAGGGATCTCTCGATGAAATATCTGAAGACAAAAATGGTAAAAGTTCAGTTTTCCTCTGATCTTCACTATTTGATTGCATTGATAGCATTGACGCACAGCTCCTTGTGGATGATGAGAATACAGCATGAGTCCTTTTCGGGAATGATAGTTCATATAATAAAACTATTGGCCTGATAAATAGGATTCTTGTGATCACACACCGTTGTTACACGTCTATCTAAGAAGCCCTTGGGCTTATTAGATCATTTGTTCTGCGGGCACGAGCCTTAAATGAGTCTTCGCGCTTATACGGATGTACTTAAATGCAAGAAGAAAGATACATTAACTCTCTATTATGACAGGCAAAATATACCTAAACAGTAAACATGTTATCTTTTTTTTTTCTCTCAAAATATTTTTATTTTTGGTATTTGTTACAGTTTAAAAAAACTCATTTACCACATCGATAAATATTTTTTCTACTTTCGCTCTGTTGTTTATGGGTATAATTATAAAGTGAATAAATCAGTATTTTTTATGGAAGTCAAAGTACTAGTTTGTTTACATTTGGCTATCTTAACTTGTACATAACTGCACATTCAGCCTACATTCATCAGTTGTTATTAACATTATTAAACACGTACATGTCTAACATAAGGCATAATGTACCTTAAATAAAACCAATTATGAACATGTACTTTGTAGTATTTACTACAAGCAGTATATTTACTACACTGATAAGACGAACAGTATAATTGTACACTATACGTATACGTGTGACCCAATGACGATATTGACGTAATGTTGTTACGTTAGGAAGGTGATTTATTATTTGGTTAAACGATTATACTGATATTATACTCTCATGAATTTACTAGGCCATGACGCCAGTTGGGTTCACGCGAGATTCTGGCCGGTAGTAAAATCCACACGTGTCGAGACAAAATAGATGCTTGTACTGTTAAAATTAACATGGAAGTTGCAATTAAATATTTACCTGCCATTTTCCGTGAGAAAAATTTCGGTACATTAATCACTCCATCTTTGTGCTTTAGATGACGGTTACATATTATTCCGTATGTAACTACGTCAACTGGTATGTCGTGGAGAAATTTCCGGAAATCTTTAACGTCACTTCCGTATCCAGTTTCAATATCCGGTACCAATCGTGAACCTGAAAAAATGTGAACTTAATTAAAATCCTGCAGTTTTTGGTTTTGTTTAGAAAATCAGTCTTCTGAATAATTGTTAGAAAAGAAAGAGGAATCAAAATTGCTTAAAAATGATAATGTGTAGTTGTCATGTTAGCATGATATGAGATTGGTAACTGAGTGAAAGTAATCGGTATTTTGGTGTAATCAACGCTACAAAACCTAAATTAAGCTTTTAAACAAACTGTAATTAAAAGTTAGGATTTTTTTAATTAAGTTTATGTTTTGTAATAGATATACCATTGCTGCGTTGACGATTTCTGGGTTTGCGTAAATTATACCATAATCAAGTGACCTTTCTTATGCCTTAACCTCACGAGACGAAGTCGAGTGAGGTTGCATAAGAAAGGTCACGTGATTATGGTATAATTTATGCAAACCAAGAACTCGTCAACGCACCAATGGTGTATCTGTTTTAACCTATAGCTCCGCCCAGAAACACTTACTCCTTCGATCTTCAAAACTGAAAATTATACCATAGTCTGGGTATGGTATAATTTACGGTAATTGGGAATTATACTTGGAAGAATTTTACATAAGAAGCGCTGAAGAGCTATAGGTTAACTTGAGTTTAATGTCGTACCAACATAGTATAGACCATATTGTGTTGTTCCAGCTTACTCCTGGAGGATAACCTCAGGTGCCCTTCTGTGCATTATTTCAGACACGTACCTGCGCCTGGTCGGAACCAACGTCGTTCCGTAAGCTAGATGGATAGCTATATCATATGTAAGGATCCAGAATCCATGTCGGGATTCGGATCCACAGGTGATATGAAGTCAACGCCCTCAACCACTTATCCAGGAACGTCCAAGTGAGTAATTTAAAATTGCTTTTTGGTATCAGATCTTTTTTATTCATTATATTTATATAATATAGATGTTGGATGTTAATAAATACATTTATTACTCGTTATGCAAAAATTAAATTTCGTTTTTGAGATAACTTGGTAGAAACAACTTTCAATTCGTATAAACGATTGATAATAAGAAATCGTTGAAGTGTTCTGATTGTGTAGCCATGTGAACAAAGAAATAAATCATGTTCACCTGATGTTTGAAACCATCTAGATCGAATGTTCAGCATATTTAAAGTAAGAGAAAAATTATTTGTTTTGTTCAAAGAAAAAGTAAATATTAAAATGATTCAACTTTAATATCAATTCTGAGGTAATTTAAGAATCAAACAATATTTACCGGTAGTGAAAGTTTCATCAATGACGTCAATGATAGTTTCAGACTGAGCGGTGTATTGGCCATCAATCTCCAGAACAGGAACCTCTCCATTTTTATTGATGGCTAAATACCAGTCTTGATTTTGATCACCAGCTTGGATGTTTATCACTTGTTCTTCAAACGCTACATCCTTTTCATACAGCGCCAATAAAGCCTATAAAAAGATTTAAAACGTCTTCATCATGAACATATTTAAAGTGACATTATGCTCATCTAAGGGTATATATATAGTGACTGAACAGGTGAAGATCAAAACTGTTTTCATTTTTAATTTGATAATTAACTTCACATAAACAATAAATAACGCACAGATCTAAACTAAATTTCTGTAAATATCCATTAGAGTTTACCTATAACGCTAAGTTTATATGAAGAGTAGGGCAGTTCTTTTTATATTTTAGGCAGATTTATAATTTTATTGTTAACATTTTCCAATATCAACTGTTGGTCAAACACCATTTTGACAGTCAATCTTTTGAAGAATAAAGTCAATTCAGCTAATCTTTACTATGAAAATATGAACATAATGCCACTTTAATCGTTCACAAGGTCACAATTCTCGTTTTCTTAGCTTTACTCATACTGCGATTAAATCCGGTGTACATTCTCATACCGTGATACAATTATCTAAGTTCAACGCCATGGACATTAAGATGTTAAGTAAACACACGTTGGTTAAGCCGTGACATTTTGAATTGAGGTTATAAGGTAGGACTATACATGTACAACCTCTATCACAGCCACAATGTATGCGATGATGTCCCAATACAAAAAGTCTTTAACTAAAAATCAATATGTAAAATGTAACACATATGCAAACATGAGCATATTTAAAGTGCAGTAGACTCCTCAAGCCTTCGCCTCGTCACATTTTTATACACTCCTATCATAAGTATTAAAAGAAATTTTAATTCACAAAAATATTTAAAATGGTGACTGAATTAAATCATCTTACCTTGAGGGAGTAGTAGGAACCTGGGAAATGGTATAATTTTACTTCTTTTGCCGTTGACATGATCCCCAACTACATGTGCATTCAAATACTGACACACTGGTCAATAATGAGTAATAATACTTTAACCCCACGGTGTCTAACATGTAACACAGAGTGAAGATAATTTGATAAATTACAGCTGTATCATAGTTTGGGACCTTTCTGTTGAAAATATGTCATGGTTAAATCGTATACATATACATGCACAGCGAATGAACTGGAGCGCAGGTATTAATTACCCGCACTCTAGAGCATGCCCATTGATTGGCTCATTTTTGCTGGGGTTTACTGATGTGACGGAAGCGAAAGGAACAGCGATAGCAATATCATACTCAGATGCTCGTTTATTGGTTCCTTTTTCTGGGGTTTCAAATTATGACAACAGGGAACGGGTTTTTATGTTTGACTATCATAAAAAAGAGGAAGAACATCAAAACACTCGGCAATCTGATTTATACTCGAGGGGCTACCCTCGTACAAATCAGATAGCCTCGTGTTCCGATGCTCTTTCTTTTACTTAACTACAAGAAAATCATTGATGCAAATCATCAAGGGCGTCTTAGCAAAAATGCAGCAAGTGAAATGGAAAAAGTAAACAACTGATGACCAGACTTTTCAATGGATAATTGGTTTTTACCAGAATTGTATATCATATATGAATGGGCAGACAAAAGACATTGTTCATCATGGACTTTTGAAGACATGCTAGAGATTAGAATATTGAAGTTTTTTCCACAGGAACTTGAAATTCTATCAATTTTAACGATAACATTCAAAATATACTAGAATATCCAAAATATACCCTCCTATATGGTATAAGTTTATTTATATTATAAAGAGGGTATTTTTGGATATATTCATTAATATTGGTTATTTTTTTAGAATTTCAATTTCATGTGGTATTTTCTTTAGGACGTAAAGAATAGTAGTCAAAATGAACAAATTCTGTTCATTGATTTATTGGGAGGTCAATCTTATATTTTAATGAATTACTTCAAAAACCTCGTGTGACCCACATGAGTGTTTACATTCCAATCAATAACCCCTTAACAACTCATGTTAAAATTGCAGACGAAAGTTTATGTTATTAAAATGACAATATTCGGCAAATGAATATTCCACTCATATTACATATCAGTTACATAAATAGACTTGAATAGCGAATTCTGATCGCAGATCAGGAAATACAATGCTGACATTCAATCTCAGAAGCTTCACGACAAACCTAACAACAAGCAGTTCACAAAACAGCTTAAAACTAGCGATATAAAAGAAAGAAATATTTTTATTTTGTTACAAGTATCATGCATTCAAAGTTTAAAAGTAGCATTATCTTAGAGAATTGTCAATTAATACACGCGGATGAATATGATTTTATTTTCTAATTCGCTCTGCTTAACCGAAAATAAATTATTTATCACCTAATAAGAGTTGTGAAACCTTCAGTCTTAGGCAGAATAAACAACAACACTCAAGTAGGATAAAGGCCTTCGCATTGTTTCAATATCGTTGTATACAAATCAATACAAATAATAACTGGTATTTCTGTGAGTTAGATGGATCCATATATCATAATCTCTGGACATGCAATCATGGAAGCTCACAACCTGCGGAATAAACTATTATATCGATTATTTACAAGTTGATTCAAACAAACAAACACTTTTTCGCTAACAACCAATCAATGGATGCGAAAATATGGCTTAATAAAAACATTACTTTGGGGTGGGCGGGTGGGATACGATGTGTTCAATGCAATGCGAAGTCCTCGAGTGGCGATTTACCCGCCTTTCCATATCAATACCGGCGAGCACGAAATATTCGTGCTAACTATGTCATACCTCACTTAACCGGACAATTATAACTCTTAACCTGCAATAAATACATTTAATCAATGAAAATGCTATTTTAGCGATGTCGATTACCGGATACGTCAGAGCGTATTACAAATCTGACTGTCGAGTAGTGGAATATATACATGTCGGACTGTTTCGGCTAAATCATTTACATCAATGTTTAAATAAACAACAGGTACTGTGCCGCTATGATAATGTGAGAGTGACGTTGCAATTTTTGTGTACACAAAAGTTTACAATCTTTGTCTGAATAGGTAAAACAGGGTATTTAGAAGTGAATATGATTTAAAATCAGAAATAGAATTTGAAAAGTCTCGATGGCAAAGTTGGTTAAGTCACTAGGATGCCATACAAGTTAAATTGTATCATGAGTTCGAGCCACACAAGTTGTCAAACCTTTTTTTCCTTTTTCTTTCCCATTTTCATTTTTACATGAGATGCAAATTAATTGGAATATAAAGGCAGTTTTGTTATAATTTCGAATAATTTATATATACCGGAAATAATAATTTTTATTCTGTGTAGTGTGTAATATATATTAGTAGTACTTTTGCAGCGCATAAGTTTTTCATGCCAACTTAACTATAGTTGAAACAATTTATGTACATGTATGCATTCCGTATCAGGCGTATCAGGTTGCACCAACTTGCTAGGTATAGCAACATTTAAAAACAAAAGTGAAATGAGAAGTTAATAGAAAATAACACAGCGCTAATAATCTTTACAAGAAAAAAAGAAAATCTTAATCGATTGATAATTATACAAAAAAATTTGGGACCGAACCTGGCTGTCTTGCATTGATATGTAACTAAAAATTTACCACACAACTTAACCTACTGCGTTACGCCGCTAGTTGGTAGATTTGTCGATATTTTAATGTATATGGCAAGCCTGCTTGACTTAAGATATTAAACACAATATGATAACTGTTTTACACCGTTAAAGTGGACTTGACCACCGCGTCACTAAATAATTATCCGAAACGCACAGTATATCCACAGTATATCATGAACAAAATACCTCGAAATTAATAAGGATCCTGTATGGACATTTTAAAATTTGAATCATTTTAGTTTATTCGGACTGCGACTGTTAAACGTCTCCGTGGTTCAGGGTTAACACGCTAGTTTAGGGTGTGAGAAGAAGGGGGTTCAAATCCCTTTTTTTAAAGTGCTTTTTTTAAGGAAGTAGTCACGATATGCAAGGATAAAGTGTGGCTGTCATAAAAAATGAACATAAATGATTTTTGATGCAACTCTAGCCATGCAAAATTCCGTATGTATCAAACTCAAACTGTTATAGTAAAAAATCCAAAGGCAGTCGCTGCAACTCGGTGCCCTGCAATGTGAATTTTAGTTTGATCAAAATAAATTTATAACAGGAAAATACATAGAGGATATTAAATGAGTGTCAGTTCAATACTGCATTTATCGCACTCGTTGAATAAAATTATTTTATGAGAGCCTCTGGTGAGCATAATGTTATTTTATTCAACGAGTGCAATAAATTCAGTAATTAATGAGCTGCACGAATCTAATATTCTTTTCACTATGTTTTTATAACGCTGATGACGTCACGTCAAAATGTATGCACGACCGTGCAATACCATAATTTACGGAGTCGCAAAATCGGCACGGGTGTGTGATGACTAATAGAAAGAGCATCGAAACACGAGGCTATCTGATTTGTACGAGGGGGCCTAGCCCCCGAACATGAATCAAATTGCAGAGTGTTTTGATGTTCCTTCTCTTTTGTATCATAGTCTAATATAAAATCACGCTCCCTGTTGTTACAATATGAAACCCCAGAAAAAGGAAACAATGACCGAGCATCTGAAAATGACATTTCTATCGCTTTCCCTTTCTCTCCCGTCACAATAAGTAACCCAAGCATATACAAGTAGAGATTTTGATGCTAAAGCATCAAGTCGCCGGATAGAAAATACTGTATTATCATAAATATAAAAAAAATCAGTTTAATTAATGGTTCAGGTATAAAGAAAAGAGGAACAATATGTTGAGTAACTGGTTATTCACAATAAAACATCATATATGAAGCAAACTTGCTTAGCAATATTGTCAAGGAACTGCTATGATTATTAAATAAGCAAGTATTTCGTTAGTTTACGTAACGTATTGTAATTTATGCTAAAGATTTTATTGATAGTATAGATTTCGATATCAAATCAAATAATATTGCTCGATGACGTACAGGTGGTAAGTAGGACGTCAAGTTGTGACCTAGTAGGCCAAATTCAAATCTTTGAAAATCCCTTTTGCAGTTTTCATAAAACTAATTTTTTTATTATTTCTTTTAACTATATGAAACATAAGTTGATAAATCGTGTTTCATTTCTAGCATTTTTTATTTCATAATTTTGATTAATTTTGTAAGGCGACTGATATTCTTGTAATTCTACTTGTAATTCTATCTTATACATATACCGTTATACCAGACATCGAAATCCGTTTTGTATATCCGATAATTACCGCCAAATAATCAAAGGTCATCGAATATTTGAAAATATATATGATGAAACAATGCAATTCTACCGTAAAATTGGTATCTGCATACATTTTTTTGCGCTATCGAAAAAATAAATTACTTAGTTGAAATCAATATTCCTGTCGTTACATACCATATAGTAAACGTTTAATTGCCTTTCATTTCGATAAAATATTAACAAAAAGATATTTTATTAGTTTTCTTTATTATGTATCTTGTATCATAGTTTGAGTACCTTTCTGTTGAAAAAAGTGTCAGAGTTAAATCGTATACATATACATGCACAGTGCGGTAACTGGAGTGCGGGTATCAGTTACCCGCACTCCAGATAATGCCCGTGGATTGGTTCATTTTTGCCGGGGTTTACATATTGTGACGGTAGAGAAAAGGGAAAGGGACAGAACTATCATATTCAAATGCTCGTTTATTGGTTATTTTTTCTGGGGTTTCATATTATGACAACAGGGAACGTGTTGTCATGTTTGACTATGATACAAAAGAGAAAGAACACCAAAAACACTCGGCAATCTGATTTATACTCGGGGGCTACGCCCCCTCGTACAAATCAGATAGCCTCGTGTTTCGGTGCTCTTTCTATTACTTATACGATCCGTCATACAGTTTTGGTAACCTGCGCGACGGAAATCGACGGAATATAACGAATACGACGATTACCACTATTTATTTCAATTAATGTGCCTCTTTAGCATAAATCTATTTTGTGATGTTCAACCTTTACTAAACTATTGAACGTTAA